TATATATATATATATATATATATATATATACGACAAAGATCCACTCTCACCCACACACAAATCAGATTCGAAAATGTGCTTGTACTGTACTATGTCGGCAAGACGACGGCAGCGTCCCGCGAGTGGATTTAGGACCAAACCCAATAGGATATATGTATCCTCCTTCCAAAGACTATTGATATTCCTTGGGCTCAAACCTAATTATCAAACTTTCACTATAAACCACACTAGAGTTTCCTAACTTTCCCATGTGGGATAAGTGTTAGACTATTGGTGCCTCTTGAGGCCCAAACTCAATTACCAAACTACTACAATATAATCCACACCAAATATTCCTAACTTTCCTATGTGGGATAAGTGTGTAGCTATTTTCAATAAATCAAATTCTTCACTGATTTATAGTTTCAAGTGGGTTATTTTGGTATCAAATATTTCATTCAATTCTAAATGATTTTCGATAAATAAATATATAATTTTAATCACCTCGCAGAGTAAAACGTAAATATGCTTGGTCCCATTAAAATCGAAGTATGGGTCCCAGTAAAATTGGAGCTCAAAGTTGACCCAATTTACTACTAATTAACAAACAATTTCCAACATATTTCTTAGTTGCTTTATTGTTTAGGAACCTTGTGATTAATTATTAACAACTTGCACTTCTTTATTTTAAAGTTTTGGTAATGAAGCAATCTTACACATTGCTGCCAATCCCACATACCATGAATGAGCTGCGCATATCAAATTGATTGTGATTTAAAGAAGTATTGGTGGCATAGAAGCATTTTTTGCAAAATTCCATCAGATGCTTCTCAACATGTACGTTCAAGGGCTTCTCTTTGGAGTAGGGTGGATCGTATATTTAATAGTTTATTAAGATTCGAGATTACATTTTAAAATGTCAACCTTATTAAGAGGAATAGTCAAAGTCCTTATATATTGGTTTATATTTTCATAAGTTCAAACTCTTATACGTTGATCTCTATTTTCATTTTAATTCGATATGAGATTAACGTCTCTTAACAAGTTTTGCTGATTTATGAC